TTCAGGTGAGGGCTTATTTTAGTGCATGCACTCAAAAGCCCGATTGGGCTTATTATCCGGGGAGGTCTTATTTTCAGGGAAACAGGGTAGGAACCCACCACTGACAGTTACCTGGTTTTCCCTATTTCCTATTTTTTTCTTAATCTGCTTTACTTTTTCTACCTATTTATTTAATATATATTATATCTCTTCTTTTTATATAAAAAAACAAAGTAATAAAGTAAAGTAGTGCCTGTAATTTTTTTAAGAGTTCTGCTTGATTTAGGTAGTGAAATATTTTCTGTAACTAAATTAAGATCCAGTCTTATGGATTGCTAGCAGTCCTACTTTGCAATATACTATGGCATAACATTGGTTTGGCAATATACTATGGCATAACATTGGTTACTGTAAAGCTAATAAGATAAAATATATTTAAGAAAGTATCATGTATATTGCAATAGGCTCATTCTTGTTGTTTTTCCAAAGGATGAAGAAGAAGAAATAAAGCTGGAAATCAACATGCTGAAAAAATATTCTCATCATAGAAATATTGCAACGTACTATGGTGCTTTTATTAAAAAAAGTCCCCCAGGACATGATGACCAATTGTGGGTAAGGACATCTTTCATGAGTTTGTACATAGCTTTTCCTCTTAGATCTTGAGAGCATCAGGTTAAATAAACAAGATTAGAATGCAGCAGTCTTGCGATATTCTAACAGAATTAAAAGATAAATTGCACATTTGTGTGGCACATCATTACACATTTTTGTGACATGGTTTATTGACAGAAAACATTTATTTATACCTTTGTTCTGTAGCAGAACAAGAATATGAAAGGAATTGTTATCTTCCTGCTTTTAACGCTTAGTAAAAACACTCTGTTAAGTTAGGGCTAATTCTTTCGCATGAAGGTTTTAGTGAAATTAGTATTATTACAAAACAAAGAACCAAGTGCTTTCCAGAGCTAGGTTTGTACATCTATTTGCTTTACTTAAAATAAGGAGCTATTTATTTACTTCTATTTACTTTGTGCAACAGAAGTAACTTTGCTCAATGTTGGACATTTTTTGAAAACTTAAAAAAAAGGATTTCTCAGTTGGTTTGCGAGAAACAGTGCTCCATGATGTCATGCTGGCCACATGATAGCCGAAATGTCTTTGAACAGTGCTGACTCAACAGCCTTGAAATGGAGATCAGTGCCACTTCATATAGTCAGCAACAACTAGCAGAGTAAAATCCGCAGGGACTCCTTTCCTTTGTGAGAAAAAAGAATATTGATAGAATAAAAAAGTTGTCCCAAAGGTGCTTTTTCAAGAGGCAACTGCACTTTCTGGTTTTTCTTGGAAGACGTTTCACTTCTCATCCTAGAAGCTTCTTCAGTTCATCCAAAAAACCTCTTCAGAGCTGAAGAAGCTTCTTGGATAAGAAGTGAAATGTCTTTAAAGAAAAATCAGAAAGTGCAGTGGCCTCTTGAAAAAGCACCTTTGGAACAATGTGAAATCTCAGCTGACAGTTCTTTTGTGAGTGTTGGCCTTAATATGCATTGAGTTCTTTCCCCAAACCTAAGAATTTATAATGTGTTGGCATAGTATATGTATGGATCCAAACAGAATGGCCTTTTGCAATTGACAGATAGAAATATTGTCAATGCAAAAATTTTCTAAGTGCCATCAAATATTTTTTTGGTGTAGCACCTAATGTGCTAATAACCATTGAGACCATTACAACTTGTTTATAATCACAGTTTTTGACTACCTTTTCAACTATATTTTCCCACCAATTTTTCATTACTAGAACAGATGCAGTGCTAAAAGTAGTGAATATTGTTTCAATCAAAGATCTTGGTATATAAACACCTTAGTTTTAGTAGTCTCATTCTTTATGTACTGCATGATTACCTGTATTGTGCAGTACGCAAGTAAGGTTTGCACATAATGATAAATCAGCAGTCTTCACACTTTACTAACTTTGAAAATTGAACTTCAGTAGCATTGTTAGGTATCACTATAAGTAGGGACAGTTACCAGAAAATGGTAGGAAAAATCAGTTAATGTTGGGGGAGCAACAAAGAGGATGATGTTCTGGAAGGTTTATATAACTGGTTAATTCAGGTTAAGTTAACTACTTTTTACATAGGAAAGATACCAGACAGAGTAGTTAGACAGCCAGTTTTACTTAAGAATCTTTTATAATGTCATACACAAATATAGCCATGGAGCGCACATCTTATTCTCTGAATGTTAATAGAATGATATGAAATAAACTTATAATTGTTACTGAGGTTTAAGTTATAATGCATATGATATATTCTTATGAGAACTTACTTTATTTCAGTAAATTCATCCAAATGGTATGTCATATATGGACTGAAGGTACTATGAATAATTGTTTTGTATTCTGGTTTTTTTTTAGCTTGTTATGGAGTTTTGTGGTGCAGGCTCTATTACGGATCTTGTGAAGAATACAAAAGGAAATACTTTGAAAGAGGACTGGATAGCATATATCTCCAGAGAGATTCTCAGGGTAAGAAACGTGAAAAATGCATTTCTATTGAAATTGTTAAATTTTAAATTCTGCTTCAACTTTGGTAAATCTTAACAGTGACGGTTTTAACTTAGAGACATATGAAATACAAGATTACTATTTTTAATAATATTTAAAAGTAAATGATGATGTAACAGGGTGCATTAGAAACTGTATTGTGATATTATTTGGTACAACATATATTTACAGCTTACTACAGCACTTTCTTAGTCCTCTAGAAGAGTAAAATGCAACCAGAGCTTGCTACAACCTTGTGTACAATTCTGGAAACTGCAAAGGGTAATTAAAACACACAGACGTGTGTGTGTGTGTGTGTGTGTCTGTCTGTGTGTGTGTGTGTGTGTGTGTATTCACATATATATATGCATGTATTTTAATTACCCTTTGCAGTTTCCAGAAATATGTATGTATGTATGTATGTATGTGTATATGTGTTGCATTTGTGCTGACAAATGCAACACACACACACACACACACACACACACACACACACACAGGTAACAAAAAGGCAACATTAAAAATAATGGCTTTCTCTCTGGTCTCTTGTGATGAGCCGATAGACAGAGAAAGGAAGCAGTATGCTCCCTCCCATATTTGGGCAAACCAGGGGTTGTGACCTTTTATTTATTTCTATATATATAAATGTGTGTGTGTGTGTGTGTGTGTGTGTGTGTGTTATAGATATAGATATAGATAGATATATTCATTCTTTGTTTTATGTTATTCTAAATTGCTATCTACCCAAAAAAGTAACCAAGATTCGTATAATGCACTTCTTATGAAGGAATTACCTTGACATTAATTAGAACCGTTACTGGTATAGTTATCACTAATGATAAAAAGAGTTTTTTCTATAAGAGAAATTGCAACTGTATCAGACTTTATACACATTTATGCAGATGCATACACAGAATATAATTTTGCATTCCTGACCAAGCAGTATCTTTAATCTGCAAATACGTATATAAGGTTATATTCTCCCTTATTTAGAGAAATTTCTCTCATTCAGAATTCATTACTACAATAGTTTGTGTGATCTTAATTATTGAGTAAAGTTATTGTCATTGATATTTTATATTCTATAATGTCTTGCTATAATGTCTTATCTTTCTGTACAAGAACCTGATTTTATTATGTTCGCTTATAAATCTGATCCAAGCTATCTTTTTTGCGGGGGGAGGGGGCAGAAAATTCATGATTACTGGTCTTGGTAGTATTCCATTCATGAAAACCAATTGGTTCAAGGTGTACTTTAAATTTCATTGATATATAAATGAATGAAAAGAAGCAAAGAATTGTTAGGATTGTGTGTATATTTATAAATATTTTACAGAATTTTTACTAACCTTATGGATTATTCCGCCTTACAAAATTTTTATTAGCATTATCAGTTATAGGTAATACTGTATGTCAAATAACCAGGTTTCCTTTCGTATTATACTTTGCTTGCTATACATTTTTTCTACTCTTGCCAGTAATTTTCCATAAAGATCAGTAGATTGGTTTGTCATACAGAACCATAGATCTTACAACATTAGCTCTTATCAAGTATGTTCCAGAAATGTCTTAAAAGTTGCGAGGTTGTTATATATATATTAAACAGTGTAAAATTATGCATAGTTTTATGAATAGTCTGTGTTAATAAAACAGCTTCTATAGTTCCTTTTGTTAAAGAACATAAACCCCCCCAAAATGAGTAGCAGTAATAATTTGGGGAAAACATCGACTACAGTATGACATACTAATGTTGCATATTTAAGGAAAAAAGAAACCGTGAATTGTTTCACATGAATTGTCTTGCTTTTTTTAAAAAAAATGCAGGGATTGGCACATCTACATGCCCATCATGTGATTCATCGAGACATCAAAGGACAGAATGTATTGTTAACAGAAAATGCAGAAGTGAAATTAGGTAAGTTAATTAGACTGTTCTTAATGTCCTTCTGGCTTGTTATTTCATCTCAATTATTATTTCATCTACTAACAGTGTATCTGGAGAGGTATTGAGAAATGATCTGAATAGTCAATACTAGTCAGGGAAATTTTGGAGAGTGTGAATTTATCATAGTTTATTTAGCAATAAACTAAATAAAATGAAAAATTGTAGTCCTCTAATTCAAAATCACAGTTAGTTACTTTTTAACATTTCATGTCCTTTTTTCCATTTGAATTTTAATGTCTGCCATTTGCTGAGGAAACCAAAATTGTTGGATTTGAAATTGTTAGGATATTCTTGTATTAATGCTTAAGATCCAAGCTATTAAGTACAAAAAAACAGTGTTGAAAGGGCCCAACCCAGCTCCCATAATAGAGTAAAATCATTTAAAGATCATATGGCTCACTCTGCAACATAAAACATGAGACCTATTATTTTCTATCATAGTTGTTAATCAAATCATGTTATTGTTAATCAAATACGGCTTCCTCATTCATCTGCTTGTTAGAAGCCAGCCTGTGGTCTACTGATTGCAGGAGTCTGTAACTCTCGTAAGTGCAATCCAGTTACCAAACACCCAAAGACAAACACACGACCTTGGCATGGCGCATGACCATAACTTCAAGGATAGGTTGTAAGTCATTACAAAATGGCATCACTGGAAAAGATACAGTGGTTCAGTTTCCGTTGGGTAACTGGTTCCCAAGAATGATTTGAAGCAGGGGTGGGTTGCTGCCGGTATTACTGCCGGTTTGGCGTGCAAAAACTTTTACTTATTCTTTTTGTCTTTCAGTATATCAAAGAGTTGTTTGTGCAGACATGCTGGTTTCTTTTGAGATACCTTTTTTTTCTTCATTGGAATTGTGCTATGCTTTTACTGTATAATCTCACTTTTCAAAGTTTCCCAAGTGTCTTGGATTGTTTTCCCCTTGAAGATTCTCATTCATGGAATCCTTCTCAATCTTGCTCTAAATTTATTGAAATCAGTTATCTTGAAGTCCAAGAGTTTAGTTTAACTTTTTTTCTCTTGCTTGTGCTTGCATAATGTTGAATTCCAATATTCTATGTTCACTCATTCCCCCCCCCCCGGTACCTGTAACATCAACGAATTTATGAAATACATTTTCATAGATGGATGGATAGACAGATAGGATAAACTGTGCTTAATGGCATTTAGAGAAAGTGAGAATCTTGGTCTTGGAATAATTTATTATTTATTTCTCCTCAATATAATCATTCATAAGTGATCTTTTAAGACAATGGTCTCTTAAGACCAGTGGAAGTCAATTTCAGAATTACTACTTCAATCTTATGTTCTGATTAATTTTAATGAGTAGCAGAAACAGATGTTTGTTTCTTGTAGTGTATTTAAGTTTACACCATCATTTAGATACTATGTCAAAAGTAACCTGAAAATTATGGTTTTATGCGGCATAAAAACATTTTCTATATATGTATGTATACTTTCTAGCTTATTGTTACTTCCTTTCTACCCCAAAAATTCCCTTAGGGTTTATTGTGACATAGTACAATTGTCTTTGAATATGGTATTCTTTCAATCTTTAATACGAGACTGGGTTTGATTAAAAATATCGTACAATGAAAAATAATATGAATTGCATACATTTAATGGCATTCCATTTGCTTCAATATTTAATTGATTACTTAGTTTGTTTTAATGTGATATAATTGCACAAGATTGCCTCAAGTAATCCTTGAGAACTTACTTCCATGTGTTTAATTCTCCATCTCTTCCATTTGAATATAGTGGATTTTGGTGTTAGCGCTCAGCTGGACCGGACAGTTGGTAGAAGAAATACTTTTATTGGGACACCTTATTGGATGGCTCCAGAAGTTATTGCCTGTGATGAAAATCCAGATGCAACATATGACTATCGAGTAAGAAAAATATTGTGTTGTATTTCTTTCACCCATTGGTTTTGTAAACAAATGTCTTTATTTCATTAATTAATATTTCATTATTAATATTTCAATAATGAACCTTAATCATTAAGGTTTTGTAAGGACAGCATTATATTCCTTCTTTTGAGTAAGGAAGTTTTCTCTTTAAATTGAGGAGCAACCTGGAAAAATAAATCTTAGATCACATCTGATAATCTCAAATATGTCAAAGCTTACTGTTTTAGATAATAAATGTTGCTCTTTTTTAGTATTTCTGTTGTAGGAAATAGAAAAGGTAATCTTTTTGGACTCGAGGGCCAGCAATCAAGTGATTATTTGGTACCTCCTCTCAAATCATGTTGAAACAAAGAGGAGATTCTCCTTCTTAGGTGTCATTGTCCTATCATATTCATGTTCCTGCAGCCTTTCAAACAGCAGAGGCCTAAACTCCTACTTGGTTTATGTGTGGCCTTCAAATCAGCTTGACTCCTGGGGACTACATAGCAAATTTACACAATTTTCTTGGTGCCATTTTTCAAAAACGGTATACTCTTGCCTTGTTCCTTGGACTGAAAAAAGCAACTGGATGAAAAGAAGTCTCTGGTTTCCATGTCTAGAGCAGAATAAGAACTCACAATCTTCCCATTTTAGTTCAGTATTTTTAACCACTAGTCCTAACTAGCTGGGATTAAGTGAGAATGAAATCAATCTAAGGAGGAAGTTGTGGTTGTACAGCTGTACAGTCCTTTAATCCAAACATTAAATTTTAAAGACTGTCATGTTAAATGGGTTTCTTGTTTTTGAAATTGAGTTTGCTTCTTCAAGATCATTTTGAAGAAGCAGACTCTTCAGTTACAGAACTATCTGAGCTTTATCATGGGAAACCAATGGCAAAAAAAGATAATTCGGTATTTAATGTTTTCAATTCTAGAACAAAGTAGTCATCTTGCTGAGGAGCTTGAAATATTTCAGAATCTTGGGGGATATGATCTTACATCACACTAAATACAATTTCTAAGTACATCTTTGTTCCCCAATGGGTAATTAATATTTGGCTGTGCATGAATGTGGAATAAGAGGGACAGGAGATTAATAATATTGGAGATTATATCAACTATTTATAACTTAATGGTATGTTGTACAGCATAGGATAAATATGGAGATCATTGGTATAAAATTGACTTCTTTAGAAATGAAAAGGGATATTTTATTGTGATACCTGTTAGATTTCATAAAAGAACTATAGTTTGAGATACAATTGTTTCCAGCTGTTCTTTATATCTGTGTTAACAGATAGTTTCTTTATTTTTTTCAGTCCTGAAATGCCAATAGGAATAAGATAGATAGAAATTAAATTAAATTAAACCTTCTGACTGATGATTGCCAGTGGGTATTACGGTCCAGCATATTTCAGTGATACTAACTGGAGGAAAGCTGTGTGCAGCCTGTTACAACTTCCCATGTTGATATTGGAGTAAAGAAAAAAGCCTCCCTCCTTTCCTTTCCCTTTCCTTTCCTTTCCTTCATTCCATCCTTCCTTTCTTCCTTCCTTCCTCAGTGTTTACTCATTGCTAATAAGTGACTCTGTATTGACCTTCAACTTGTATTCTATTATGGACTATGTCTGCATTGGGGATAAGAGATTTTGCATTGTTTCAGATCTGATAAACATTTTCAATTTTTTTAAAATAGAGTTCATGTTTCAGGAGACTTTTTAGTTAAAAATTTACAGTAATAGGCTACTGAGGAGCAGTATGTCCACATTCTTGAATCTTGTACTCTGAAATGTATTTTTACATTTATTTTGAAATAGAACAAGCAACATATTGGCAAAGATTTATGAGCTTTTTATAGTAGTGTTCTTGAGTGTTTTACAGTACACTTAATGTCCTAGTAGTTTAATTTTGCACAATCTTTGCTTTCCTGTTGATGTAATGCCCATCAATTTGTTTTTGGTTTCCAATTCATTGCATATCCAGAACATCAGAAAAACATCTGTTAGAAAAATATAGCCGAATGATACAGAATTTACAGAAATGTTATATCCGTGGTTGGAAAAGTGTTGTTTTCTCTTTCAGATACATAAGATATCTATATGAAAATGTGTGAATACAAATATTTGCATTATTTGTAAAAAAAGAAAAAATATAAACTTTGAAATGGAAGAGATTTAAACTGCAAAGATGCTAGACATTGTCCTTCATAAGGGACTTTAATTTTTTATATTTACCATATTTTTCAGAGTATAAGATGCATCTTCCCCCCCCCCAAAAAAGAAGGTAAAAAGTTGGGTGTGTCTTATACACCAAATGTAGCCCTCACCCCACCAGAGGCCAAAAACAGCAATGGTCTTTGGCAATCCCTGCAGCCTGGAACAGCTGATTGGGTGTATTCCGGCAGTCCGATTCACTCGCCAATCAGACTGCAATAAGTGCTGAAGCTGACCTGGCTCGTCAGAGTTTGCAGCAGCAATCACATTCAGAAAGCACACACAAGTAAGCAAGATTCAAAATAATAATAATATACAATACAATACAACACAATACCGAAAGTAGGTTTTCCAATACAAGCAAAACACAAGTAGTTTCACTTTCAGTTCTCAGCTAAGCCAGGCTCCTTCCTATCTCCTTGTTGCCCATATGGCAATTACCATTTCAGAGTCCAAATAGCCCTCATTGGCTGACTTAGTTGCTATGCCTATTCATTGGCTAACCTTGTTACCTTGTGTTCCAGAATTTTTTTCTTATTTTCCTTCCCAGAGTATAAGATGCATCTTATACTCTGAAAAATACGCTACATAGGTACATGTTACTGATTTTTAAAGAATCAAATTGTAAAAAAAACAAACTGTTTAAGAACAGGGGAGGGGGGTTGTAATTCCAATATTTCCTTTATAATATATGAGCTATAATTGACTGAGACAAAAGTGGATAATGTCTTTCTGATATATGGTCTCCCTTTGTAGAGTGATCTTTGGTCATGCGGCATTACGGCCATTGAGATGGCAGAAGGCGCTCCCCGTAAGTGATACGTATATATTGTTTATTTAAATGATTTCAGAAATGCAACCTTTTCTTTTCCTTGTAATCTAAATGTACCCTTAGAATATTTGGGAACACAATGATCTTCCCACTCTACGGCATTAAAAATATGAAGTACCATAAATAGAAATGATTAGGCAGCTGTGACAAAGCCTCATTTTGCAGTGATTGTGCTAAGCCAATAGAAATCAAACAATAGAATAAACCTACAATATGGAATTATTGAATTGATATTGAGTCCATGTAAAATTTCTGATGCGGTATTTGATTCTGAGACAGTTAACACTATTACTCATTGTAAGAAGAAGGCTGTGCTGGTCCTTGGAGGCAAAAGGTGGGTAATATGTTAGCACCTTTTCCAACTAACACATTTTATTGAAAAGTATGAATTTTCACTTCACTTCAGTCTAATCAAATGCATGGAATGTCTGGATTGATGTAGAATTTAAAATAAGGGATGATGGGAAGAGATGGGAGGATAGTTGGTTATACAGATGTATGTTTCATGTGGGAGAGGTTACAGTTACCTTATCAATTAACAATTGTTGTTAAAAAAAAACCATAGTGGGCGGTTGAGATTTTGTGAGATTGCCTAAAACGTTTTATGTATGTTAGTTCAACATTGCTTGAGGACCAACATTGCTTGATGATCCCCTTCATCTGATGACAACAGCTTATGGCTTTGAATAAAATTTGTTAGTCAGAAAAGGTGCTATTAGATTCCTGATTTTATGTTATTAGCAGACTTAATGTTTAGAGCTTATAGAATGCCACAGAGCTTATTGCATATGGCAAATCCCTCATATACTGTTTTACAAAGGAAATGAGTGTTTGGTCTCTAATTTCCAGGGGCTATGTGAAGAGGTAATGGTTATACTTAGCTCTAAGGCATTTTATAGAACAGATGGTGCCTCTGAAATCACAGCACCTCTCTCAACGTAAACACGATTCTATCCTCTCTTTGATCTACGGTTGTCAGGCCTATCATTTTTATAATCTTTTGTTCTTGTCATAATCCCATCATTGCTTAGTTTACAACGTTAAATATATGTAGATATAATTCAATAATACGACAGAGTTGAAAAATCAACTGTGAAACTTTTTTTTTTAGCCCTTTGTGATATGCATCCAATGAGAGCCCTGTTTCTTATTCCCAGAAATCCTCCTCCACGGCTAAAGTCCAAGAAATGGTATGTGGGATTTGTTGGTGTAGTTACTTTTTCTCTGATTTTGCCATAGCAGTTTCGTTCACAAGACAGAGCTTTCTTTACATTGACCTAAAAAGTAACTTAAGGGGACGTAATGGCTCAGCAGTTAAAGACCAGTAATAGTCCAGATTTGAGACCTGAGCACCACGTGACAGGTCTAGTTCCCTTTACTTGCCCTAGCTCCTGCCCACTTAAAAATTTGAACGCATGCAAATGCGAGTAGATAAATAGGTACCTCTTCTGTGGGAAGACAATAGTGTTCCATACGCTTTGGCATATTTTACTCACAAAATTAATTCACTCTGTAATAATGTCACAGATTATTTTTAAAATAATCTGTTTTTAAAACTATGCTCAATTAGATTTACCCAGACTTGAGGGAGATCCAATTTTGCTAAACTGTCTGTTCTTCCACAAATATTTTTTTCATCTTCTGTAGTGTGAAAAATATCTCCAAGGACTTGTCAAAAGAAGTGGTTTTCAACATAATTAAGATTACCCTCTCTTGACACTTTAACATTCACATTTCTTTGTTTGTAGATTAGAAGCAAATTATCTGAGTCCCGGCATGTGGACTGTAGTGCTGGTTGTTCTAAAATTTGTAAACGTTAAATAAAAATATAAATATAGTATTTAGCATATAAAAGATAAAGGTTTCCCTTGCACATATGTGCTAGTTGTTCCCGACTATAGGGGGCAGTGCTCATCTCCATTTCAAAGCCGAAGAGCCAGCATTGTCCGAAGACGTCTCCGTGGTCATGTGGCCGGTATGACTAAATACCGAAGGCACACTGAACGCTGTTACCTTCCCACCAAAGGTGGTTCCTATTTTCTACTTGCATTTTTGCATGCTTTCGAACTGCTAGATTGGCAGAAACTGGGACAAGTAATGGGAGCTCACTCCGTTACGTGGTGCTAGGGATTTGAACTGCCAAACTGCCAACCTTTCTGATCGATAAGCTTAGTGTGTTAGCTACTGAGCCACCACATCCCTCTATTTAGCATATGGAGGATTCTTAATTGATAAATCCATACTTTCCCAAATAACTAACATATATGATATATTTTTTTGTTCAGGTCAAAGAAGTTCTTTAGTTTTATAGAAGGCTGTTTAGTAAAAAATTATATGCAACGACCTCCTACAGAGCAGCTGTTAAAGCATCCATTTATACGTGATCAACCAAATGAAAGACAAGTTAGAATCCAGCTTAAGGATCATATAGACAGAACCAGGAAGAAGAGAGGAGAGAAAGGTATGTTTTATTTTTGAAAGTAGAACCACATTTCTCTATACATAGAATGTAAGACTATGCTAATTATATACTAATTAATTAAACAATAAAGACAGCAGTTCCTTTATAACATAGATGGGAACAAAAGGGAGACAGAAAGGAAACCTGGAAAAAAAAAGTTAAGCCAGAATTGCAAATTCAAAAGACTTTTTCTGCAATGTGAACTCAGCAAACAATACAATGGATATCATATAGTAGACTAATCATACACCATCAAAGATGAACTGTATGTCTGGAAACTGCATAGTTTCTGTTTATATAGAGGGTAGAAAAAATGATAGGTACTAACACTTGCAGATGAAGATCATAGATTTCAATGTCATGTGACCAAGAGAGTTATCTTGCTTACTGTAATATTTAAAAACAGGCCAATATAAAATGTTAATATTTAAATAAGGGCAAGACTGCAGACTATTCCCTTGAATATTCTATATGAACTATATGGATGAACCTAAGAAATAGCACTGTCATGTAATGATATAGAAGAGTAAAGTTTTTTAAATGCCAACTTTAATAATAGTTGCCTAAATAACTTGGTGGGAGTTTCTGGACCTTTTCTCTAAAGTTCATAAGGAAACCATACCAAAGCATTTTTTCATATGAATTCTATAGATTTTAAACTTATATTATTCCTGAAAGCTTTTAAGACTTATTTGTGAACAAAATTACTTTTCATGGAATTTGCTTGCAGAGATTTGTTGCCATAACTTTTTATTTCCAATTTCTGTCAGATGAAACAGAATATGAATATAGTGGAAGTGAAGAAGAGGAGGAGGAAGTGCCTGAACAAGAAGGAGAACCAAGGTATTGTAATCGTGGTATTGGCCTTGTGAGAACCGTATTATGACTATCTCTGTGAATGAGATGTATAGTACCTAAATTTGATAAATAGGTAAATATCTCAGAGTCTTTGACAATCTAGTATTCAGATGTCTTACACTTTTAACTTATAATCTGAGCCTACATGCCAAAGTATCTGGAGGTATTTGCAGAAGCTATTTTAGAGGAAGAGCACAGAGAATGATTTATGTGGCATAAATCACTATGTAGTTGTGATGCTCTTTAGCTTTGTTGTAGCCTTTTAACAATAGATATTAGAACAACACTTTTCTAAAGTAGTTTACAGAATGGCAGTATACAATAATACTATTTAAGTTCTTCAATTTCTATAATGTAATCTTCTCTAAAAGGATACAAGGAGCCATTTAACAATGGGTTGTTTTATGACTAGTGAAACTTACAGTGGCCATAGAATGGATGTTTTGTGGTTATCATAATTGGTCCTTCTCATGTGACCATATATCATGCAGGTCAGCATTATGATAGGTAGTGTTGTTGTGTGTCACATGATCACAATTAATGATGCACTGAAAAATTATTTAGATGCTTCAACTTAATGACCACATAATTATGACTGTAATTCTGGGCTCAATTACAGTCATAAGTTGAGGACTAAATAATTCTTTGATTGCTCAGTAGGAAGATCTTAACTGCTCAGAACTTGGATATGTCTTGAGAACTTAACTTGAGACACAATAAATAGTCAAAACACAGAGTTGTCTAATACTACATAATCAATAAAGGTAGACCTTGACTTACTACAATTCGTTTAGTGTATTCAAAGTTACAACGGCACTAAAAAATGTGACTTATGACTGTTTTTTCACATTTAGGACCGCTACAACACCCCAATGGTCATGTGATCAAAATTAAGAGGCTTGGCAACTGGTCCATATTTATGATGGTTGCAGTGTCCTGGGATATATGATCACCTTTTGTGACCTTCTGAAAAGCAAAGTCAGTGGGGAAGCCAGATTCACTTAACAACAATGTTACTAACTTAACAACTGCAGGGATTCACTTAACAACAGTGGCAAGGAAGGTCATAAAATGGAATAAAACTCACTTAACTGTGTCACTTAGCAATAGAAAGTTTGGACTCAATTGTGGTTGCAATTTGAGGACTACCTATACCTGTTAAATACTAAAATTCAGGCACTTTTCTCTAATCCTTTTCTAAGTTTTGAAACATCCAAATTTTTAAACAAAAACGAGGCTTTGTTTTCTGCTGGTTTGACTCTCTCGTATTTCTCTGCCATGCTTCCAACAGCACAACTGTATTCTAGTGTTTGCAAGAAAAACACGGAAGATGTAAAAAAAAAGTTTCCAACCTTTGTTCAGTTATTTGCTTAGACATAAAACCTTTTTGTTCTCATGCAGTTCCATTGTTAATGTGCCTGGAGAATCTACCCTCAGACGTGACTTCCTGAGATTGCAGCAGGAAAACAAGGAGCGTTCTGAGGCTCTTCGGAGGCAACAGCTGCTACAGGAACAGCAGCTCCGCGAGCAGGAGGAATACAAGCGGCAGCTGCTGGCAGAGAGACAAAAGCGCATTGAACAGCAGAAAGAGCAAAGGAGGAGACTAGAAGAGGTAGAAATGGGTCAAGGTTGAAAAGGCACACTTTTTTTAAATTGCCTTTTGTTCAAAAGCCAAAGGATTGAATTTAGAATCTATTAAATGACTGCATGAAGATGTCAGAATTTATCACTCAATGCCAGAATTCTTCAATGGAGCAATAGTGTATGGTATTAGAAACCTTAATTCCCATGAGGATTTGCTTGCTTTTTAATACTTGAATCCCTCCTGCAGATTTGGATTTAAGGATGAAGGTATGGGTAGGATAGGAATGAAAAAATGGTTTGATGATTTTCTAATGTCATATAGGTGTAGATACTACATGTATTATTACTTGAGCTAATAAAATTAGTCATGTAATAATAATCCCAGGTTTAAAAAGAATTCCTATATAGCACAGCAGCTGGATTATTCATTTAAAAACTTTTTTTAGTCTGTATTTATGTAATCAAACAGAAGAGAAAAAATAGGAAAAAGAAAGAGTTGGAAAAGGAAACAAAATGCAATATTATATATACCTAGACTTTTCACACTTGCAAGTTTTATACAATCCTTTCAATAAGAATGACTACACAGTATTTGTTTACTGTTAAATCTGAAATAACACAACTTCACATTTGCTTTTCCACTTTGGTCTCTGAAAAGAGTTAGTGACAATTAACATTTTTGCAGTCTACTATTTGCCAAATGACTTTCTTAAGTGATTTGCCATTTCCCTGATCTGGAAGATTTGGTATGTTCATTTTTGTCTTCGTAGTCTTACGTAAATAGGCTGAAAAAAAACAAAACAATAGTGCCCCATTGTTTTTCCTGCAGACGCCGCAATTGCTATCCAGTTGTTATTGAACTAAATACTACAGGAACAAATTCAAATATAAATTTGATTAATTAATACATACTGCTGATACTATTTTAGAATTTTTAATCAGAATACTTAAAGCATTTGAATATGCTCTTAATTTTAAACTGAAGTTTAAAGATCTGATACTATTTTGGTCCATTTGAAGTATCACAGTCTCAGTCTAAATAAATGCATGTTTATTTTAAGAAGGATCCCTTCTTGGCCTTTCAGCACCAGGTATAAGTAGGAAAATATACACATTATTTAAATAATAATTTTTAGTCACTGCAGAGTTTATTAAAATAAAACAAAAATACATGCTTGCATCCAGAGGTGACGTGCTACTGTTTTGGACTGGTTTGCCTGAACCGGTGGTAAAACATGCTACTGATTTGGGCAAACCGGTAGTTCCAGCAATCAGCTGTGTGACAATCAGCTGTGCTGCACGATTTATATTTACTAGAAATCACGTGGCACAGCTGATTGTTAGAACTACCGGTTTGCCCAAACCAGTAGCATTTTTTATTACCGGTTCAGGCAAATAGGTAGTTCTGATGATCAGCTTTGCGACAATCAGCTGTGCCGCATGATTTATATTCGATAGAAAGCAGGAAATCCTGCTTTCTAGCGAATCTAAATCACACAGCACAGCTGTTCCCCCTCACTGTTCTACTTAGCTTTGCAGACTCAGAAAAGGCTACTTAATCCACCTTTTTCAGCACTGCACGGCAGTGCCTGCGGTACACATGCACGCAAAGCAAGCCGGTAGCAAAGAGAACTGATAGCATCCCCATAAAATGGTGCTTTATACATGTATGCATACTGCTATAAAATACATCTAGATTTGCTTACCAGCATATCTGGATTTTAATGTACGTTCATCATTCCAATGATATCTGGAGTCTACTAATTTCATGATCAGCCTTCAATCTTTAGAAGAGTTTGGGTGCATTTTGAAACAATGAATACCATCAGCCAGGGGTTCTCAGCCTTTTCTTTACTATGCAGCCCTTTAAATACCTTTTGTGGCCATGGACCACCAAGACTTAACTCAAGATTTAAATCATAATGGCGTTCACAGACCCCCTGGGATGACATTGCCTCCAGGGGTCCTCAGACCACAGGTTGAGAACCATAAGCCCTTCTAGGTAGAACAGGTACCTGTATCCTTTAAAAAATGTTTTGACATGCTACTGTGTTGGAAAATCTTGACACTAAGAATCAAGACACATAAACAATTAGGAGAAATGATGTTGCAATCTATTGAGCCCAACTTATGATTTGCCCCAGTATTAAGTGAACTAAGAAAGATTCTTGACTGAAAATGTTTACAGTCTATGAAAACTAATACTAAACTTACATGATAGATATAGTGACTCTTAGAAAATTGTTGCTTAAGGAAACATGTAACTTCTTTACCTCTGGATGTTCTATTTACCTAAAATAGATCATTCAGAAGAAGAGATTCACGCTTAACTGCCAAAACTATAAACTAAGTGTAATTGATGCCATACAGCAGAGAAACAGAATATTGTATTGCTGACATTTTGTGCTTACACACCATTGTTGTAACTATAGCATACAGTTATTTCTTTATTATCCAAAGTAAGCTTTGGACTCTACAAAGAGGGCCACTACATGGATGTTTAATTATTCCCTTTCTATCTTCAAACTCTTTTCCCCAAATGTATTTTCTGAGCAACAATTATATCTGTAATATTAAAAATAATGTACCTTCTAGAGTTAAATTCCTTGAAGAGAAAAGATCATGAATAGGAAACTGGAAAAAAAAATCAAGGCATTTGAGGTTTGACTCCTTAAATAGCCTTTTGTATTGTTTAACCATGTTTTGGAAACACACAGTACAATGGAATCATAAACAATTTTGTTAATGAAAAATACATTATGATACTTTTTTTTCAATGCATCTTTAGTTACCTTTAAGATTCAAGAGTATTTGCATGAGATTTTTGATTTGATGTCGTATGATGTATGAATATAGCAGATATATTTTATGCATTAAATACTTCATCAGGATCTTATAACAAAGCTTTAAATATGGATTCTCCTGTAGCCTGTTTCTTATCCTAATTTAATTTGATACACTTTATTAAATAGTTGCACCAAAAATAGATGGAGAAAACAGTGTTCTTAGCACTTTTTAAGAATTGTTCACATGTCAGTTTGATATATTTTGAGTCCCCTTAGGATAATAAAGCCAATAGAGATACCCACATGAAACTGTTATAATATGCTCCAAGTATGGCATTCATTGATATGCCATGTTAAATTTTACTTTATTATATTTGGTTAGCGCAATTTAATAACATTAACACATTTTTTTAGTTTGGGAAACTTCCAGCTATTTAAAAAAACATAAGATTGTGGAACAAAAAATGATTTGACCTGATTCAAAAGTCATTACAGGATAGAATTCATGAATAGATTTAGACATATATACCTACCTGATAGATTTAAAAGACACAAAAAAGTACAAAAGTACAAAGAAAAACAAAATTATCTTTTTTGAATCCTGGGTTTCTTTAGGAAATAGCCAGTAGAAATGAACACACACTTCCATTTGAAGTGCAATCAAATCTTTATGGAAAAATACAATTATTACTGTTAAAAAGATGAAAAATTACTATGTGAATTATTAATTCAGTTTTAGAGGATAGAAGCCTTCATCAAATTAAGAGCCACGGTGGCGCAATAGTTAGAATGCAGTATTGCAGGCTGGCTGTGCCAAGATTTGATCCTGACTGGCTCAAGGTTGACTCAGTCTTCCATCTTTCCAAGGTTGGTAAAATGAGGGACCAGATTGTTGTGGCCAATACGCTGACTCTGTACACTGCTTAGAAAAGGCTGTAAAGCACTGTGAAGCAGTATATAAGTCAAAGTGCTATTGCTATTACTATTGCTAAGTGCATATTTTGCAAGGTTGATACTATCTCTTTTTAAAAGAAGGATCATTTCCTAGTAATCATATTACTAAGTGTAGGATATTTCTCCCAAAGGGAAATGTTACTTTTGAAAAAGGCCATTAATAAATTTATACAGAAATACCTAAATAGTTAGATAAATCTGAAGAAATACAAAAGATTGTCAAGTTTGAGATTCTTAAGAATGTTAGTGGTGTTTTAGGGGTAGATCCAGTGGTGGGTTGCAGGCGGTAAGCCCCAGTATGGGTGTACTGCAGCCTGCCCCAAGCACCGGGTACCGTTCCGGTACGATGCTCCGGAGGGCCCATCCGCCCTTCCAAGCTTTTTACTTGTCCTTTAAAGCCTCCTGCGCTTCCGTGTACACTTGGTGCGTATAGTACCTGTGCGACGCTCCGCCGAGCAGCTGGAGCGTTGTGGAGGCTCGCGTCCATGTGGACGACACCGGGCCCATTCCAACTGTACTGGGTAAATGTGTGTGTTTACTGGTAGGCATATAAATGAATAGATTTGTGTGTGTCGATACACCTTGGTAAAGATAATCTTTTGGACAATAAGCTCATATAATAGGATTGTGGTTAATTATATTTTTATAAACACTGTAAATTGGAATGTAAATCAGAATGTAAGCCTGGATTTTATGAAGCAGTAACTGATAATAGAAACTGATAGTAGAAACTTTGGATCCATTCGATTAAAACTTTTTTTAAGGATTCTATTTTTGATTAAAAGGATTATATTTTTTCAGAGAATTTGTGAGTTTTCTTTCACTCAAGCTCTTTAGAAATTCCCCTTTCCATTTTAAGTGTTATATATTTGATTCTTGTAGATAGAAAAGCTCCATGGGCTCAGGAGATTATATCTCTTGCATAGGCGTTCCTTTTGCAGCAACTTCCAGTCCCATATGGAGCACCTCATAACTCTGGTTTAAAGTTGGTCCAATTAATTATAGTACTGGCATACTCAGTGAGCATATGGTAACAAAAATCTCTGGAAAATTTTTCCTTATTTTCCTGATGAAGACCAACATCTCTTCATTTAGCACTTTAGAGTTTTCATTTAACAGCAGAGCCACAGAATTAGCATGTGTGTATACGATGCCCCCTCAGGCGTCGTTCCTCAGCATGTTGATTTGTTGGTCATGCCAGAAAAGCCACCAAGTTGGGGCTAATCCTTGTCTTTCCTTTCTAAAGTGGACTTTCTTAGAATGTTGCTTATCATTGCATTAAAATATTCTATAAATCCATAATAAGTTCCTCCTATAGAGCAACTTTGGGAGTTTTCTAAAATTATTCCAAGTTGATTTCCATTGTTATCTTCACCTAATTGGTAAGTAGCTATGATACTGCTCCTATTCACTGTTGCATCAACTACCTAAGATTTTTCATGGTGTCAACAGGTACCTCAGTATTTGAGAAAACTCCACTTTCCAACATCTGCTCTTACCACTATTTCCCATGTCTCATGCCTGCAAGTAAATCTTGATCTATTGATATTGGTACTTTCTATATTAGGTATCTCAGAAGCAGCAACAGAGTAACCGCTATGACTTGTTTTATTTTAGATTATACTTTTGTCTGTTACTCAGACTCATCAGGGCCTTATATTTAACAACTATTATTCAGCTAACGATTTAGGTGCAGTCTTCAAACCGTTCCAACTACTGAAATAAGATCTGATATTTTAACTAGCTAGTTTTAAAGCCAGGATTAGGGTTGTCTTACCTCTCTTGTCTGTGTGGGGCAACAGCAGTGTTTCATTTTCAATAACCTTTGTCAGGCTATGTTGATAGATGCTTCATAAGGGCAGTTCTGAGTGTGCTGGTCTTTGACAAAAAAAGGCTGAGAAAACACTGGGATGAAGGATATATGAGGAAGAGGATTTTCTTTTAGAGTTGTCAGTAATCTAGTCAGCATAGCACATACCATCATTTTTCCTGGTGAAATATGGCAATTTTGCTCATTTCTTAGGACGAGCAACTGTTAGTGTTCTTTTTCTTATAGAAAGTTCAGCTTTGTCAAACCAACAAATAGTACTACCAGATTTCTTGCAAGAGTGACTCCATTCAGTTTTATGCTTGGTCTCACCCCTTGGTTTTATCCCAGGTACCACATCTTTTAGCAGAGGATCTTCCTTTTGACTCTTCATTATATATTGTTGGTGCCATGAAATGAATGCAGAAATTGAAAATGGAAGGGTTTAATAATATAATAACAACATAATAACGTTTAGAAACACTACAGCATAACAGCTCTTACTTTTCAGAATTGCTTTCTCTTTTCTCAGTCATATGGATCTCAAGGAAGAGATCTTTCAATCTGCTGCAACAATCAGTTATTTCAGTAGTAAGGCAGGGTGAGTTGTAATGAGTAGATGGGAGTATACTCATCGTTTAGTTTCAGCAAATGCTGTAGGATTGCCACCAGTGTGCACTAAGAGTGTCTAGCCTGGTCAACTTTCACAACATGCCAAAAGTCTTCCACACTATATCAGTTAGTGCTACATGAATAGTCTGAGAGAAACCTCTGTACTGGCCAGAAGTATTCTGAAGCTACATGAATTGCATCATTCAGTTGAATTTGGGTGGCCTTTTAGTTTGACACAGCAAATCAGAACACTTCCGTATCAAAGTAAGACTATGTTGTTTCACCACAGCCAAGTATGAACAGTAATGGACAATACCACTACAGTCTTTATATAGGCAAACATAGTAGACTCTGTTCCTGTTCTGTCTAGTAGTATTGGTGCTTCAAGGGGACAATGATTCAATTTGCAAATAGCAACAGGCATCAGGCAAAAGCACTATAGAAGACACATAACACTACACAGCAGAATGGGAATTTTTAGAATGAGAATTGTCAAACTGGAACATGTTCATTGGAGAAAAATCAAGATGATAAAAGATTGCAAAATTCTAGAATAGAATGGAACAGGAACAGAAGAGAACAGACAAAATAGAATATAACAGAATAACAGAGCTGTAAGGGACCTTGGAGGTCTTCTAGTCCAGGGGGCTTAAGAGAACAATTTATGAGGAATCACTAGATAGGGAAGACTGAAGGAAAACATGATTATTGTGAAAAGATTTGAAGAAGGATCATGCAGAAAAGTGGAAGAATTGTCCAGTATTGTGCCAGAAAACAGGAGACAAATTGGGATTTCAACTTTTTAAAAAAGTAGATTTTAGTTGGAATCGGGGGAGAAAAAAATTCTTTGTTCTTGAACTATTCACCAGGAGAACAAATTACCCTGTGAAATATGGAGTCTGCTTCACTAGAATTACTTAGACCAGCTCACCATCTACCAGGGATGCTATAATTGTGGATTCATGAGCTAAGAGGTTTGAACAAGGTCTGTTCAAATCTTTCTATTCCATGATTCTATGAATAAAGATTTTGGCTGCCTCAGGAAGTTTTCTACTAGGATAAAAGAATGGCAGTTTCTTTCAGGAATAGCTGCTGACTCTGTTTAGTTATATCAGTTTCTTTTTAGTAGAAGGCTTTCATCTCTCCGTGTCTGTTTTCCAGTAATCTCTCTATAGATCACCTGCCAGTTAATCCATGAAGCACAGACTAATTCACCTGAACACAAAGCATTTCCTTAAGGAACTGATTATTCTGTGTTTCAGTCTATATTCTTGCAGATCTTCCTGATTCTGAAGTAGGGTTTGTCAGTAAACATTCATGGTTTTGATATCATCCCTTTTAGCCCTGCAGTTTTCAGAGTAAAATGAACTACTTTTATCTTTTAAAATAATGGCCTTAGATGGTTCTGGATGGTGTACAAAAATTAAAAACCAAATAGAATAAAATTATTAACAGCACTCCAAATATCCAAGGTTGAAAAAACAAACATTATATCGTCATCAATTAACTAATGGAAGTTGCTGACATCTTAGTCCAAATGCCTAGGAGAAATTTTTCATGAGCTGCTTCATGAAGCCGCTAGAAATAAGTTTCTGATGACAGCACTGCACTGTCTGTATGGAAGCAATTTTAGTATCTTCCCTATATATGGTGATTTCACAGTATTCACATTTTCTCACATGGTAGCTAATCATTTTAAAATATTAGTAATTGTAATTGTAGAAGTGGAAAAATTATTCAGATAATCCTGATATAATAAAAAATGAAATTCCATTGCCACCCTTCTAAATGATGCTGGATTGCCAGTCTACTGATTATGCAGGATGGTGACTTATGGCAATAAAATCCATAGGCTCTGTATTCTGATTTGATCAGTTGGTAAAAGAAAGAAATTACTTATATCCATTGTTACTTGAAATGCAGCAACAAAGAAGAGAGCGTGAAGTTAGAAGACAGCAAGAACGAGAACAGAGGAGGAGAGAACAGGAAGAAAAAAAACGATTGGAGGAGCTAGAAAAAAGGCGGAAGGAAGAAGAAGAAAGGAGAAGAGCAGAGGAAGAGAAGAGAAGAGTGGAAAGAGAGCAGGTAAACCTGAAACAGCATGAATCAATTATGTATGGTTTCTTTCCTTCTCTTTACTATAGGAAACACTAAGGAAACTATTGGTTACAGTCTTAAAGAATATCTTCCATCAGTCTGGTTAGTGTTTTAGTATAGTCATTCCCTTTATGACTAGGGAATGTAACAGTATAGTAGACTATTAAGAGCAGACTAGTTTCGGGCACCTGGTTAAGGAATATGGAAAAATCTGAACTAATGTTTGATGATTGCCTTCCTGATTCTGGGCAGTAAGTTTCTTCCACAAAGTCACAACATGTAAATATAGTAATAGACTTACTTTATCTGCTTATACTGAAGCAAATGACTTTAAATGCATTTAATTTAAATGATTTAAATGCATTCATTTCTCAAAGTTTTATCAGTATTGGATCTTTGGCAAAAACTATATTAGTTTCTCAGTCTCAAAGATGAATCTTGCCTGTTTGAAATATAATTTGTATATAAGTCAGAAAGTGGAGATATTCATATTGGAAAAATAATTTTCAGGAAATATACTAAGCACTAAGAACATCATGGTGTTATTTAAAATTTATTGTATTCTGCTATAAAGTTTATTTGGGATTTGATGTCAAACAACATGTAATATATAATGGGATTTTTCAGAATACATAATAATAGAAATGTTGTTTTAGAATTGTATGCAATACCGTACTTAACAGTATAGTTTAGCTTCCCTGAACTTGGCATCTTCCAGAAAGTTTGGAACTGCAATTCCCAGAACTTCTGGGTGAAAATACATTTGGAGAGGGCTAGACTGGAGAAAAGATTTTCCCAACTTAATTTTGGGAAATACATATGCAGTAACAGACATTTGTGCAAAACAGATTAAAAAATGTTCTCCCTGAGTAACTTAATTGGGTCTTAGGAAATCATATTTTCAGGTAGCTGAAGAAGTGCATCAACCATCTGCCATTGTTTGCATGCAGCTAGAGATGTATAGTTAACACACACTTTCCAAAAAGTACAGGTAGTCCATGATTTACAATTATTTATTTAACAACTGTTCAAAGTTATGATGCAACTGGGGAAAAATTGACCTATGACTGGGCCTCACATTCAATAACCCTGGCAGCATCGTTGTGATCATGTGATTAGAATTTGGTGCTTGTCAGTCAGCATGCACAGTATTTTAAATTATTGCAGCAACCAAGAGTCGTAAATACCAATGATTGCTATTTATGACTTTCCCAGGGCTGTGAGAAAAATCAATGAGAGAAGATGGATGTACCTAATGATTACAGTATTTGCTTAATGATCATAGTAAAAGTCGTAAAATCAGGTGCAACTCACTTATCAACTACATCACTTAGCAATGGAGGTGCTGACCCAATTGTGGTGAAGTGTCAAGGACTACCTGTATTGCTGGCATTGATAGATTTTGGTTTTTTTAAAAAAAACATATTGCTACAAAATGTTAACTCCACTTAATTCTGGGTATGCGAGGATTGTATAACAAGCTAGTATGCATCTTTTTTTTTTGTCTCGTAAGATTTCAAGCAGTCTCATTTTGCCATTGCATTGTGTCATTAATTCCTTTTGTGTTTGCTGTCTTTTCATGTGTGTTTGAGCGCATGTGTTTACTTTCCTTCATTAATTTGCACGACAGGATATTCTTAGCTTTGGATATGTTGCTGCATATTTTGACTTGGCTTAGGAATCCAGACTTCTGGAGTATCACTGAAAATGCATTTGGAATTATATCTTTCTCTAGTGGATGTTTTTTTTATGTTCTGTCATAACCACCACCTACTTCAGATTGGCATTGTCTGCATTGAGGATGAGGCTAGGATCAGTTTATAGTCGAGGTTAAGGTTCCAATTGACAGGTCTTTTTGGTAGAAAGCTTGCAAAAGGGATGCCTTAACTAAGCCTGGCTCTAGTTGTTGCTCATGGTTCATCATAAGGTGCAAAACTAATTCTGTTATTAAAAACACATGTGATTTTGTGTTGGCTGTGTTGATAAGACTTGCTGGTATTAACTATCAACCTGTTTTTAAAAATTCATTTGCTTGTTTTGAAGTCAAAATTCTACAGGAAAAGATTAATTTTTTCCTAGGCCACAATTTCTTTTCCTCTATTCAGGTCATTTTTTTTTGGAGGGAGGGTCTGTAATGGATTTTTTTTTCCAGTCCTTAGTTTAGCTGATAGGGTTTTATTTCATTGTTCTTTAGGGAGTCCCATTATTAAATTTATTATTGAATTGTCACCTTAAGGTGAATTGGGATAGTTGGCATTTTTTCTTTTTCTTTTGTGTGGTGTTGCACTCAGGTGCTTTGGTTACATTCCTGTTGTGAACAATTTTATTGCTGGGTAATTTCTATGTGACAGGAGTATATCAGGCGACAGCTAGAAGAGGAGCAGCGGCACCTGGAAATTCTTCAGCAGCAGCTGCTCCAGGAGCAGGCCATGTTACTGGTAAAGCACTGTATCTGTTTTGTTAGTAGCTACTGTTTGGGATTGCTTTCTCTGACCGGTGTCCCAGGTTGTCTTTAAACGGACACAGCTGAACTTTATGCACAGGAGAGCCTGGCGCAAGAGCGAATCATCCTACAGTGTGGATGGGGCTGCCAGACCTACATGGACCATGCTGTATGATGATCTGACAAGCCAATCAGTGAAGATTTTTTTCCCCTCCCCTAAGTTAAAGACGTTACGGTTTGGTAATTGACTTTCTGAACAGCCCTTCTCAAAAGAACAAGAGTGCAGACCATGTTATTTTATTAAATATTGGATATAAAAGTCAGGGTACTATGTTCCTTTTGCGCCCCCCCCATTCTCCCCCCCCCACAACAAAACCACTCTACCCTTCCATGGCAAAATAGATTTATGACTGTGCCGATCACAATAGGTTAACTAATGCTATGCCTGTAAGTACTGAATCTTGCTAAGTGCAGTGTAAAATGTTTTATAAATTAAGGGAAAACCTGTGCTCTGTTTGAATGTAATTTTGAAGCTTGGTGTATTTACTCACCCTGGAACCTGCAGCAAAATGTATAGCCACCAGAAGATAAGCAAGTGGCTGCTAGCATGGGGTTCATATTTTGACCTGTTCTCTCAAAGGAATACAGATGGCGAGAGATGGAGGAACACCGACAAGCAGAGAGACTTCAACGTCAATTGCAACAGGAACAGGCATATCTTTTGTCACTTCAGCATGATCACAGGAGGCATCAGCAGCAGCAGCAGCAGCAACAACAGCAACAGCAGCTCCAGCAGCAAGAAAGGAATAAACAAAACTATCATACCCCAGAGCCTAAATCCCATTATGAGCCTACTGAAAGGCCACGGGAGGTAAATTCTATCTCAAGTTATTAGAACTAATGTTGCTTTTAAAATATCTATCAGAATGTATATAAAGACCACCTTTTCATAAGAAAATTGAGAGAGGAAGATGAGTGTGTCCCATTATCCATCTTGGAGGAAAAGGACCATTTTTAAATATACTGTATTTTTTGGAGTATATGACGCACCCTTCCCCCCCCAAAAGAGGGTGAAAATCTGAGTGCGTCTTATACACTGAATACAGCATTTTTGGCCTTCCAAAACCCCACCCCCTTTGCAAAAATGGCCATGCATAGCCTTTAGGAGACTTCCAGGGCGCTCCTGAGGGCTGGGGAGGGCAAAATTGAGTGAAAAACAGGCTGTTTTTTTGCTTATTCCTCCCCCCCCCCCGGCCCCCAGGAGCACTCTATAAGCCTCCTAAAGGCTATGCATGCTATATTTTTTGACAAAAAAACAGACTGTTTTTGGGAGATCTGCAGAGTGAAAAAACTTTTTTAAAAAATTTGCCTCTTTAAAATCTTGGTGTGTCTTATACTCCGGTGCATCTAATACTCCGAAAAATACTGTACTTTTACCCTTTATGGTGTCTTTCCTTTCATAGAGCATCAGCAGATAGCATGTAACCAATTTCTATATTTGAGGTTTATCCAGGAAAAACACATCAGAGACCAGCAATTTAGCCCATAAAATCTCTTCACTTCTCAAAAAATAGGCAAGATAGCTATAATATTACACTAAAGTCACATGAAATTTCTTAATTGATTACCAATTGCTATGTTTCAGTCACTTCTGAAGAACCTCTAGTGAATGTACAAATCAATTTGATTAACTTTTAGCAGTTAGAGATCTGTTGTGACTGGTAGGATTTGGATTAAATAAAACCTAGTAAGATGGAAAGGAAGACACCTAATTTATGTGATTGTATATATTTTATGGCAAGAAATAACACAGTAGAAGTCTTCTATACACCATTCATTAGTGATTATTGTATTATAGCATAATCAATACTATACCAATAATTTCAATAAAGATTTTCTATTGTATTAATCTATAATACAACTGATGAGAATGTGACAATTTATCAAATAGTTTCATGGATGTAAAACCATGTTTTCGGTGCAACTTTATTACTACATTAAAGATCACATTCTTGCAACAAGTTCTGGAGGAATTTGGAAATTGTATTTAAGGCTTTCAGGAAGCACCACAAGAGTCCAGGGCCCAAATTCTAACAAGCTGCAACCTTGTTTAATTTCCAATTCCAAATAAGGGTAGCCAAGTACTGTTGGGATAATTTTCACTAAAACATATTTTTCACCAAAGAGTCATGTGTTATCTGCAGATTAGCATTAATCCTAGCATATTGAACTGATGCTAAAGACTGACCATTATAAGGAAGACAATGTATTCATTTAATTGTTTTTAAAGTATAATCCATCCCAATTATAAAGAGCAATGGTCAATAGTAGAGATGTGCATATCGTCATACTGGGCTGGGAGCTACATAATAGGCTTGGGATTCTAGATTACCAGTGTTATTTATAGTGAGTGCATCTGTTGAGTTGACCAGAAAATGATACTTGTAGTTTCTATCAAGGAATTTTATTTCAATTTCTAAGAATCATCTTTTCCTTATATCAGTTGAGTCCACATATGACTTTTTTTCTTGCCAGGTTGATGACAGATATAGAAAGAATAACCAGAGCTCCCCGGAAGCCCAGTCTAAACAGGGAAGCAAAGTGTTAGATCCACCAGTGCCTTCAAGATCAGAGTCCTTTTCAAATGGAAATTCCGAGCCAGTTCAGCCATCATTGCAAAAACCAATGGAATCGCAGGTAAAATCCTTGTGAAATGTACAATGATGGGATGGGGAGAACAAGGAAGAGTTGGGAAGTAACATATATAGAAACCAACAGATTATATTACACTGATATAAGTATGGCACCCTAATAGAAAACACTTTTCCATATTTCTTTGTGGGGGACTATCTTGTTCTTCTCCCAGATAGGCTAACTAACACTCCATTAACATATGTACTCTCAGTAAAAAGCATATTTTTTCATATCTTTCCTTGGCATTTTTTAAAAAGTTATTTCATTCCTTCTGAATTTGACATTTTGAAAGAAAAATTCTACCTCCTTTTCTAGTTGATAAAATTGATTTTTCATGGCATGAATTAGCAGTGGTTAAAATAGAAACTTCTATCTAATGCATTTTCCTACAGTATTCTTGAGATAATAGTTGAATTAACTAGGGTAAAGGGACACAATTTCTGCCTCAGGGATATGTTCAGTTTCTGAAAGCCTTGTATGCAGTATCCAGAGTCCTCCAGAGGTTGCTACCAAAACACAATATTTAATGTACTGGAGGCTACTGTTAAGTACCTGACTTAATCATTAAGTGAGTTATTTCATTCCAATTTAATTAAATGAAAATGAAATGAAACAACATTTAATTTTGGTTATATTCTCCATTTAAAAACAAACTTGCTCTGGCAAAATAAAAATCTTGAATGAGAAAATTCAATGAGAAAATTCAAGCCGGTGGACACAATTTCCAATCTGAAAGCAGCATCTAATGACCAATGTGTGATCAGTTTTCTATTACTGCTTGCTTTCTCAAGATAACTTTGAAGAGACAATGATCGCTCTAAGAGACAGATTCAATGATATAGTTTACTGTGTATTTAAAAACAATTTCAGTGACTGGATTTTTGTATAGATCTATCTGATAGGTTTGTTTTTGTAAAATGGTTTTTTTGTACCTTTATGTTGACAATTAGCAGTACTAAGTCAAAACAGTACCATATGGTAATTGTAATTGTCAAAAATACCCAACTATTTCTAACTAGGAAAATGTTGGAAATATTTTGGGGAAATTATGCTGAGAAAATATAAGCTAGTTATGAATATTTGTGGTAGTTGAGAGTGTTCATTTTTTTTTAAATCATTATACTATTCTAAAATATATTTTATGTAATGTATTTATGCCATGGACAGCTCTAAATTTACAAGAACTTCCTTTAGTCATCCTTTTCTTTCAAGAATTCTATGAAACCTATTTAGGTTTCATGTTTGAACAACTAAAGAAAAAATTTGGACATAGTATAATTCTATAGGTGCAGTAATAAACCTTTATTGTAAAGTTTGCCTTGGACATTATAGTAAAGTGTCTATGATCATATTTCTGTGCTCTCTAATGTGTGTGTGTGTGTGTGTGTGTGTGTGTGTGTGTATGTATATATGTATATGTATATGT